ACTCCAAAATTACTTTTTATTTACTTTTTTCAACATTTTATATTTATCCCGTTCATGTGCTTTTATCCTATAGAATGTAAGCTTTGAGGAAAAAAGAGTATTTCTTTTTATGTTTTTCTTTCCCCTATGTACTTGGCACAGTGCCTGGTACATACTACACTTAAGAAAACCTTGTTGAATTGAATTGAACTGAAATAGCATGGTCAGGATTCAAACTCTAGTCTTCAGGCTCCAAAGGCAGTACTCTTCCTACTCCACTTAAAATAAGTATCAGCTGTGTCAATAAACTGTACATCGCTGACCTCAAAAGTCATTTTATGAGACATAACCCTTGAGGAAGTAGTACTTTATTTTTTTAAATCTGTGACACATTTTAATGCCTTCCCTTATGGATAATAATAATAATGATAATAAATCACATTTACATATGGCACTTGCCTCACAACAATGCGGATAGTTACTGCAAATGTTGTTATCCTATTTTTACAGATGGGGACACTGAGGCTCAAATAGCTTTTAAACTTACCAAAAGATGACTTGAGATAAGAGGGTCAAATTTTAGACTTAGAAGATTAATGATCAAGAAAGAATTTTCTCTTTATATAACATGTTCCAAATACATTCAACTTAGCCAGGTGTTGAGGCTTTGGGTTGACTCCAAGCTTCACTTGGGTTCATAAAGGGCTTGCTGATCCATGGTCAAGTTCAAGGTCACTGTCAAATCTGAAGTCATATAAATTCCCAGCTAGGTTATAATAATTCTTCTGGAGGTAATTCCAGTAGAGATTAATATTTCATAAGATCATAGGATTTAGATCTGGAAGGAGCCTTAGATACCATCTTGTTCAATCTCTTCATTGTGAAGATGAGAAAACTGAGGCACAGAAGTGACTTTCTCAAAGTCACATAAGTAGCAAGTGGCAAAGCCAGGAATCAAACCTCAGGCCTTTGACTCTGAATTCTCTTTGAACTGTAGAGAATTGTCTCCTTAAGTTTACTCTCTTGTCTAGGTTTAGAACAGATTCAAATACTTCACTTTGAGTACTTTAATTTTATGTTTACTTTGTATTTTTTTCCCATTGGGAGGGAAAACCTGAGTCAAATGCCCTTGTAGTGCTTATCATTGCAAGTGTGAGAGTTTAAATAGTTTTCTGCACCAGCCATTTATTGTCTTGTACCTTTGTTCAGTTGCCAGTCAGTGAATTAAATTAATCATAGAATCCCATGGCTGAGCACATTTATTATTACTGTGTCGTCCATCACAGCTGCTGTCTCCTCTCCTGCATTCTTTCTTCTTAAATGCACACACACACACACACACACACACACACACACACACACACATACATACACACGCACGCATACACCCCTTCATCCTCTAGTTCATTTTCAAAAAAAGTGAAAACCACTTGAAACTTTCCTAAACCAACAAAACAAAACAAGCTTCTGTTTTTTCCTTTTCTTCATCTGGTCAAAGTGATGAAAATCCTTCTCCAGTTTCTTCTTACTCTGACTTGACAGGGAATTAGTGTGACTCATTGGCATGGATTCCAGACCTGGAGTACTTCACTCCTTAATAAATCAAACCACTTGTCCAGGGAAGTTCTCCTGCTGAATCTGTTTGTTTTGTGGCTCCAACATTAGCAGAATAAGTTAGAAAATGAATACCCAGCACACCAGAAACATCAGTATGAAAATAGCCAGCCTCACAGACTGAGTTCAAAAAGGTAATAATCAGAGGGACTGAAAGGATCCTTTGATGAGAATTCAATGAAAGGACTGAAGTCAGCTCCCTAAAGATTTTCAGTTAGTTCCAACTTCGCTCCTAATGAAACAAAGTTTATCTTGTCAAACTTTGGTCACAGTTGGACATAACAGGCAATCTTTGTTTGCAAGGCTTCTGCTGATGGTAGAAGGTAAACGAATCCCAACATTTTGTCCTTCCACACTAGAACTGAAATATACTTTGTGACAGGAATAACAAAAGCATGTTCTTCATCCATATTATCCAGGCTGCATCACAAAACTGTGATATACTTTGGTGCAAAATTACGTTTGTCTACCTGGGAAAAGCCCAGTAATAGTATAGGAGTTCCAGAGAAGAAATTAGAGTAGCAGGCTGAGTACACCAACAAAGCTCATATGGCTCTCTGCTTTATAGATTATATATTTGTTATATAGATATATATTTATTTTATCAATCCTTTACTTTCCTAGGAGCTAAAAGAAGCAATAAATAATTTTAAGAAAAAAGTACTATATCCATTAGTTAGCTAGATGGTATGCCGAGTAGGTAATTGAATTCAGAGTCAAGGAGACCTAGATTCAAATCTAGCTTCAGACACTTGCTAGATCCCACCTTTGGGGGGTCACTTAAACTCTGACTCAGTGTTCTCATCTGTAAAATGGAGAGAATAAACTGGGAATGGTGGAACACACCTATAATCCCAGCTACCGTAAGGCTCTTAGATCTCTTGAGCTACAATAGGCTGTCAATCGAGTATCTACACTAACTTCAGCATTAAAATTGTGAGAGGGGTGGAGGATAGTAGATTGCTTAAGGGCAGGCAAAATGACCTAGATCAGAAATGGTTGAAGCTACTGTGCCAACTAGTAGTAGGACTGGGCCCTTTTCCAGCCTGGGTGAGATGAGATGGAGTCTTTAAAAAGAAAAATGAGGGACAGACACAGAGAGAGGAAAAGAGAGAGGCATAGACAGGAGAGAGAGAGAGAGAGAGAGAGAGAGAGAGAGAGAGAGAGAGAGAGAGAGAGAGAGATTATAATAGCATCCACCTGACAGAGTAGTTGTGAGGCTTAAAAGAAATAATATGGGGAAAATGCTTTTTAAACTTTAAAGTGCTATATGTGGTTATTATTATTGTTAAGAATTTATTCTTGATTACTTGATGACCTGATTGCTACTATTTCTGTAATATATAAAAGTGTTGAGAATTTTTAACAAAATATTATCTAAACAAATCCAATGCAACTAAGATTAGAAAGAAAATAGAAAATTGGGAAAGAATTTTTACAACCAGTGTCTCTGATAAGGCCCTCATTTCTAAAATATATAGAGAATTAAGTCAAATTTATAAGAATACAAGTCATTCCCCAATTGATAAATGGTCAAAGATATGAACAGGCAGTTCTCAGATGAAGAAATTAAGCCATCTATAGTCATATGAAAAAATGCTCTAAATCACTATTGATTAGAGAAATGCAAATCAAAACAACTCTGAGATATAACATCACACCTATCAGATTGGCCAAGATGACAAAACAAGAAAATGATAATTGTTGGAGAAGATATGGGAAAATTGGAACACTAATGCATTGTTGGTAGAGTTGTGAAATGATCCAACCATTTTGGAGAACAATTTTGAACTATGCCCAAAGGGCTACAAAAATGTGCATACCCTTTGATCCAGCAATAGCACTTCTAGGGCTATATCCCAAAGAGATCAAACAAATGGGAAAAGGACCCACATGTACAAAAATATTCAGAGCAGCTCTTTTTGTGGTGGCAAAGAATTGGAAATTGAGAGGATGCCCATCAATTGGGGAATTGTGGTATATGAATGTAATGGAATACTATTATGCTATAAGAAATGATGAACAGGCTGATTTCAGAAAAACCTGGAAAGACTTGTGTGGTCTGATGCTGAGTGAAGTGAGCGGAACCAAGAGAACGTTGTACACAATAACAGCCACGTTGTGAGGTGACTAATATTGATAAACTTAACCCTTCCCAGCAATACAAGGATCTAAGACATCTCTAAAGGCCTCATAATGGAATATGCTATCCACATCCAAAGAAAGAACTATGGGATTTGAATGCAGATTGAAGCATACTATTTGTTAGGTTGTTTTTTTTTTCTCTTCTGTTGAGTTTTGTTTCCTCTTTCTGGTGGTTCCTCCTATTGGTTCTAATTCTTACTTACAACATCACTAATGTGAATATATATACTATATATATATATATATATATATATATTTTATCTAAGAGGGAGGATGACTTTGTACATTCTATCACATATAACTGGAACGTGCCCATGCTCACCTCTACCTCTTACAATGTTTAGGTTTCTTCAAGGCACATATGCCATTTTCTATAGTATGCAAAGCATTTCCTATTCCCTTTAATTGCCAATATTTGTTCCCACTTCCTCAAATTATCATATATATTATTTATATGCTTGTGTGTTTACATGTGTTATTCCCTACCCCCAAGAAGAAAGGAAACTCCCTGAAGTCAGAAACAGTTTCTCATTTAACCTTTGTATCCCCAGCCCTGGTATGTTTTAGGCACTTGGTAAATGCTTTCTAGATTAGAGTAGGTTGGGTTAGATTGGAAGGTGGTTTTGATTCCTCATGCCCATTCGTAATCTACGTCTCTCATAGCTATCAATAATTAATCCACAAGATACATCACAAACACTATCTCTATCTCCCCTCCTTAATCCTTTCCTACTTACTAAATACAGTGCCAAGGTATGTGGTTGCCTTCTCATTTTCCTCCAGGAATAAAATACCTATGTGAAAGAAGAAAAATTTTTATAAGTATATCTTTATTATTAATTGAATTTCTAATGAGGTAGAATCATCATGTTAAAGGTATGTGTAGTAGAAATCTGTGTGTGTGTGTGTGTGTGTGTGTGTGTGTGTATAAATAATGGTAATTAGCATATGAAAAAGAACTTCTTGGCATGAATTTTTTCTGCCTAAACTGCAATGTTAGAAGGCTGGGAGCCTGAAAGGTAACAAAGCATTTCGGTCTTAGCACCATGTGGAATCCTAGAGGGGAACGAAAGCCCCAGAAGGATTCATAAACCAGAAAATTCATGCAAACTGAAAAACTATTTCCCTGCAAACGAAAATTTTTTTCATTTTTTATTGTGAATAGAGACCATTGGGAAATAGAGCACTATGCCCCACCACAGGATTTCCTTTGCCTATGAACTAACCCTTTACCTACCTTCTTGTTTCCTTTTCTTTTGCAGGCCCCTGACCAAGGTGTAGACCATAGAGGTGGAGTCATGCTTCACACGGCCATATCATGTTGGCAGCCATTCCTAGGTTTGGCTGTTGTGTTAATCTTCATGGGCTCTACAATAGGCTGCCCAGCCCGCTGTGACTGTTTACCTCACAACAAGTCTGTCTCTTGTCACCGAAAAAGGTTGATTGCAATCCCAGAGGGCATTCCCATTGAGACCAAAATCCTAGACCTCAGCAAAAACCGGTTAAAAAGTGTCAACCCTGAGGAATTTATGTCTTATCCTCTGTTGGAGGAAATAGACCTGAGCGACAATATCATCGCCAATGTAGAGCCAGGAGCATTTAACAATCTTTTCAATCTGCGATCCCTTCGCTTGAAAGGAAATCGCCTGAAACTGGTCCCCCTTGGGGTATTTACAGGACTGTCCAACCTCACCAAACTTGACATTAGTGAAAATAAAATTGTCATTTTGCTGGACTATATGTTCCAGGACTTGCATAACCTGAAATCCCTTGAAGTAGGGGACAATGATTTGGTTTATATATCACACAGAGCCTTCAGTGGGCTGCTTAGCCTGGAACAACTCACACTGGAGAAATGCAACTTAACAGCAGTACCAACAGAAGCCCTCTCCCACCTTCGCAACCTCATCAGCCTGCATCTAAGATATCTCAACATCAATGTTATGCCTGTTTATGCCTTTAAAAGACTGTTCCACCTGAAGCATCTAGAGATTGACTATTGGCCTCTATTGGACATGATGCCTGCCAATAGCCTATATGGTCTTAACCTCACATCCCTCTCCATCACCAACACCAATCTATCTACTATACCCTACCTTGCCTTTAAACACTTGGTTTACCTAACTCACCTCAACCTTTCTTACAATCCCATCAGCACCATTGAAGCTGGAATGTTTGCTGATTTAATCCGGCTTCAGGAGCTGCATATAGTGGGAGCTCAGCTCCGCACCATTGAACCACATGCTTTCCAAGGGCTCCGGTTCCTTCGTGTGCTTAATGTTTCCCAGAACCTGTTGGAAACACTGGAAGAAAATGTGTTCTACTCACCCAAAGCCCTAGATGTACTGAGCATTAGCAACAATCCCCTGGCTTGTGACTGCCGCCTCCTTTGGATTCTGCAAAGGCAGCCCCTCTTGCAGTTTGGGGGCCAGCAGCCTATGTGTGCTGGCCCGGACAGCATCCGGGAGAGACCATTCAAGGATTTCCACAGTACTGCCCTTTCCTTTTATTTTACCTGCAAAAAGCCTAAGATCCGTGACAAAAAGATGCAATACCTGCTGGTGGATGAAGGGCAGACAGTCCAGCTGGTGTGCAATGCCGATGGTGATCCACAGCCAGTAATTTCCTGGGCAACCCCTCGAAGGCGTCTGATAACCACTAAATCCAATGGAAGAGTTACAGTGCTGGGGGATGGCACCCTAGAAATACGTTTTGCCCAGGACCAAGACACGGGAGTCTATGTTTGCATTGCTAGCAATGCTGCAGGGAATGACACTTTCACAGCCTCTCTAACAGTGAAAGGATTTGCTTCAGATCGTTTCCTTTATGCTAACAGGACCCCTATGTATATGACAGACTCTAATGACACTAGTTCTAATGGCACCAATGCAAATACTTTCTCTCTGGACCTTAAGACAATACTGGTGTCCACAGCTATGGGCTGTTTCACATTCCTTGGAGTGGTTTTATTTTGCTTCCTCCTCCTCTTTGTATGGAGTCGAGGAAAAGGCAAGCACAAAAACAGCATCGACCTTGAGTATGTCCCCCGCAAAAACAATGGTGCTGTGGTGGAAGGGGAGGTGGCTGGACCTAGGAGGTTCAACATGAAAATGATCTGAGGTTCTACCACTAGCAGTGCTTTTTTTCTTTTCTGTGGCATTGTTTGTATCCAATAAACCAGCCTGGCAAATCAAATTGCTGGGTAGAAGGGCAGCTTGATGTAGCTGCCCCTTTGTTCAAATGGGGTATATAGGAAACTGGAAGATTTGTTTGTGGTTGTGCGACAGGGCCTCTCCACCTAGAGGCAGGTGTGTGTGTCAGGGCTTTTCACAGAGTTGGTTTTACTAATTGTTTGCATTGCAAATATTGGCATTCTGGGGATCTCAGTAATGAACCTGTTGGCTCATGTTCACGGACAATTGTTCAACATTTTCTACCACTACAAAAAGAAAAAGAAAAAAAAATAAAGAACAACCTACAGTGTAGGATTTACATATTAAAGACACATTTGTCTAAAACATACTCTACAGTTAAAAAAAAAAGAGAGAATTTGTATCTATGATTACCATTTGTTAAAGCCTTGCACCATAACCAATTGCTGGTTCAGCACCACAAAGAAATTGATATATTCTTTTCTTTTCCTTTTCTTTTCATGATTAAGACAACATATAAACTGTGTACATTTTAAAGCAATACGAATGAGAGGTTGTGCTTTTACCACTACTGACCCAAGTGTGATGTCACCATCTTTTAACTGCAAACAGCAAACATCGCAGAATAGATCCCTGTAGTTACCTAAGGAAAGATACATGAAGGGAGAGATGAATTTGTCTGATTGTAGGAATCCAGGTTACACTACCCAAGGCAAAATTGTTTTAGCTCTGTTATCTTCTGTTAATATAAATAAAGGCATGTGCCTAGTTTTGATACAGAATGGAATATTTTTTATACTTGTGATATCACACTGGACCAGTTTACTGTAACAAGCCCTTGGATTCACCCAAAAGAGGGTAAGCCACAAGTTGTGGTTAAAACTATGAAAAAAAAAGAAGCAAGGTAGGTGTTAACCCTGAAAATGAACCATTTTATCATAGCTTGGTTTAAATTTCACAAACCACTGTTAATGTGTTAATAGACAACAGAAAAGGGAAAAAAAGGAGGTAATGATTTTTATGTATTCATAAGAAAACTCTCACCTTTATGCTAGTTAAGATTGAGAAGTCAGACTACAAAAGCTCTTCGGATAGGAGCTCTTCTCAGATGCCAATAAACCAGGTTCAACCATGCATAACAGGAGGATTATGCAACTAAAGACATGCTTAAAATGTGATGGTCTCCTTAAGGTCCACCTGCTACTAATTAAAAAGACTTGCTCTCCACTGTCACTATTTAATATTGCATCTTCCAAGAAATACTTATAGATCTTAAAGTTAATTTCCAAGAGTGGATGACTTCAGCTTTTCTCCTTTCTACTTTACAAATTACATAATGCTTGTTTCTCCTCCATAATAATCAATGGAAGAAAAGAGAAATCTTATTGTGATTTTTAAAGGGGTGAGCAAGGTTGTATTGAATATAACTTAGTTACTATTTGATTTGTTGGCTGATCAAGGGAAAAAAAAGGCTTAATCCTGCAAGTGTGAAAAGCTGTACTGATCCCCTTCTCGTTTTGCCAATTATAGCTAATACTTAATGTTCCAAGATGCTGGCATCATCAAATGTTGCCTAAAGATTTTAAATTCTAAATATTTTCCATTTTGAAAAGGAATTGACCTCATCACAAATGATTTAATTCAGATGAGGCTTAAATTTTTCCCTAAATGTTTAGTTAATGGCTCTTCAAACAGACTGAATGTCACTAGTAATCAATTAATAGAAATATGAAAGATTATCTATTTCACTAGAATGGAAGAGGCATGAAAATGTTATATAATTCACATTTTGAGATGGAGCCAAAATGGCATCCCATGATATGATAAATTATAAAAGAGTTGAGCTCTGTGTTGTGAAATGCTAGAATGAGAATCTTCCTTTCAAGGGACTTCCCTTTTTTGGTCTTTGAATTTCATGGAACTTAAATAAAATGGCCCCTAACAAAAAAAAATTTTTTAAATGACAAATGGAGATTATTCCTGCCAGTTGAACTGCAACCCAGCTGAAAATCCTGCTCTACCTTCAATAAGGAGAGTAAAATAAAGAAATGAGATGGAAAGATTACCAAACTGTCAGTTGGATTCATTTTCACTTGTTCCTGATAATGGTTACAGATTTCATAAACAATCCATTTTGTGGGAGGGTAAGGGGAGGGGGCAGGAAAAAGATGACATTATTTATACCAAAACAATCTCTCTCTCTCTCTCTCTCTCTCCTCTCTCTCTCTCTCTCTCTCTCTCTCTCTCTCTCTCTCTCTCTCTCCCTCTCCCTCCCTCTCTCTCTCTCTCTCTCTTTCTCTCTCTCAGTTCTGGTATAAATTCAGGGACATCCCAGTGTAATCCAGTGGAATATTTTCTTTTACATTTCCAAAGTGATCTTTTAAAAGTTAACCCAAAATGAAGTACAGGGTAAGTTAACTTTTAACATTGCAAATAATCAAGGAGTAAACTAATTGCTAAAGAAAAAAAATGGAACTGCAACTAACTGAGACTGGATTGTAATCAAAATACCCTTGAATGATACATAAGGAGGCTTAGGTATCATCCTGTCTGGATTTTGAAAGACATTAAAATCCTGATGAGTTCATAAAAAGCATATTACCATCTGATCTTACAGACAAGTCAGCTAACCTCTAGAGGAGGCACCATACTACAAGCCCAAATGCAGTTAACTGCAACATGGTATAACTGAAAGTACATTCAGGTAGGAGTCAAGAAGTCTAGACTCTAGATTCTGCTCCTGGGCCTGGCTCTATTACTTACCTGTGTAACCTTAGGTGGGTTATTTCACCAGACCTAAAATTCTATTTTAGGGCATCTCTATAAAGCCTCATAGGGCACAGAAATCAGATGGCATCTGTATGACTATTAGATACTAAGGCAATAATGATCAACCATTTTTTAATTGAAGAGCTCTTTACCTTGTTGCTTTCCCATAGCTGAATCAATTGCCATCAAACTTCCTGAGCTTAAGGCTGAATTCAACACAGCCCTGGGGGGAGGGATTTGAGGAAGCAAGAGGGGGACATAACCCATGTTTATCTCAAATATAAAGGACCCTGAGGATACTAAGTAGGTATGAATTTCTTCCACAGGGTTTCAGGTTGCTATGAAGATTGAAATATAATCCTAGAATAGTCTAGAGAGCAATCTAAATAAATAATGGCGCTGAAGTAGGAATAAGTCCTATATTCAAATTCAGACTCTCTGCTGCTTACTACTTGTATGGCCTTGGCCAGTCATTTAATTACTCTTAGCTCTCTGTGATTTGACAGGGTTGGACTTAATGTTCTCTAAAGGCTCTTCTTATTTTAAATCCTCTGATCTTTTGAGAACTCATCTGTTTCCGGGGGGGGGGGGGAGGTGTCTTCTGGGTAAATTGGGATGATCCAAACCTTCAGAGGGTTTTTCTTTTGCTTGTGGATTGGTCAGCTTTCTTAATATATTTGAAGGAAAAGTATCTCCTTCAAGTGGCACTCCCTGAATCAGTGATTAACTAGTGCCCCGGTATCCTGAAAAAAGTAGGTGCCTGTTTTAGGGTGGGCAAAATAAATACCTGCAATAGATTCAGTGCCTCATCCATAAAATGTGGACCATTACATGCCAAGTAAGAAACATGCTGTTTTTCTAAGCTCTTGTTTTACCCATTTTTCATACCAAGAGGGCTATATCATTTCAGACCTCCCTATTATCTAACTTTTTGAAAATCTAAACCAGTAATTGCCTACAGTTGTACTTCTAATTCACTAACAGAGTTTTCTAGAATTCTGGTTTTGCAGAAATTTCACCAACATGTTCAGGTCCATCAAAAGTTGTGAGTCCAGGTAAATTTGCTACTTCTGTGTTCTGCTGACAACTTCACAAGGTGCTCTACATTGCTTATGGCAACATTCTGGAGATTTTTATGATAAATGTTCCCTTTTTCTTCAATTTACAACTAAGTCCCAAAGTTTACAATTCTCCAATTTCTAAGTGTTTTTAAAGAAATTACTTAAATTTCTACAAAATAAAGCCCTACCTTTTTTCATTTACCATTAAGTTAATAGAAATAAAATATATATTTTACCCTTCAACAATATTGAAATTTAGTTGTGATCCTTGGTCAGTAAAAGGAGACTTTCCCTTCTAGAAATTAATTTACCACTGCTAGAACCTATCTTCTTCCATGTCAAGGAGGAATGTGTGTGTGTGTGTGTGTGTGTGTATTTTAAACATTAGAGCACTGAGCTCAAAAGCTATTACACAATCCAGATCATGTTTCTGATTTTTCAGACAAGAAAAAACAACAACAAAAAAGTGTCATTTTCTGCTTTTGAAGGCTGCAGTCTGAGATAAGTAAAGAATGTCAAGGATAAAAAAGAAATGAAAGCCACTTGGATCCATTTCCATCCTTCAATACAGCCCCTTTGCTCCAACTACTGCTATAATAATCAAAACTAGAAAAAGAAAGTCTAGATTATACAGGTGATGTCTGTGGTTTGGCTTATCCCCCAGCTGTGGCCAGTAATCATTATGCCCTTCTTTGCCTTCCAAAGATACCATTTTAGTTGCTTTTTCTTATTTCCCTATCGACTTTGTATATAATTTACATGAGCTAATCCAAATGGAAACAATAGCAGGAAAATTAAAAGATAGTAGCATAGGACCAAATTCTACCACATTCCTTAGCTCTTAAGACAACCCAAAGAAGGAATGTGTTTTACTTTTCAACTGCTGAGCTTTGGATATGGAAGAGTTATTGGTTGTCCTTGATTCTTGAGGAGGACCATGATGTCAGGAAGGTGATGCCATGACTTGTAAATGGATTGGATTTAAATGAGGGAGTGCTGTGCAAAGTCACCAGCCTCACTTCCTCCTCCAAAGCTGCCTGGGTCCAGTGGCAAGATAGAGATCACAACAACTGGAGATGGCCCCCATATGGAAGAGATGACATTTCTAAATGACCATCTTAGTACGGTAGGTAGAACCTAACGGGAATCTACCACTCTGAATTGACAGCTGAAAGTTTCTGACTTTGCAAAACACATACTCCTATGCCATCAAAATGACAGAAAATTTGGAGAGAGAGGGAAAGAGAGGGGGAAATTGATATGGGGAGAGAGAAAATCAATAAATTTCACTAGTTCTACTGGGCTAAAAGCTTACCATTACCTAATTCTGTATCAACAAACATTTCCCACTTCCCTGTTCCCCTCCCAAAAAAAGGACATTTTAAGGGGAGCAAACATGGCTTAATGCTTTCACAAACATTAGCTTAGCAGTAGAAAGAGAACTGACCTGAAAGCCAAAAAGAAAGGCATTTGAGCCACAACTCTGACACATACTACTGCCTATATAAACCTGGACAAGACACTAAACTTCTATGTTCTCAGGCAGGAACTCTCTAACACTATAAATTTCAGAGAAGGTGCCAACATGCTTCAGTACAAAAAGTTCTTTCTCTCAAGAGTCCCTATATAGTCATTAACTTTATGGTTTTGTCCTCTCCAATTATGTGAATCTTCCTACTAAATAACTTTCCAAACAATTATTACCTAGTGGGAACATTTTTAAAATATCAATTTTGTTAGGATGACACCAGTCTATCTAACTATACTATATGTATGTATACATACATGTGTGTCATGTATATTCTTATGTGTGGTACATATACACGTGTGTTTCATGTTGTTAGGGTTTTTGTTTTTGGCGGGGGTTTTGCCCAAAGAAGTTTTGAATATAGATTCTTCTTATAAGAAATATTAATCTCCTCAGAAGATTCTTAGCTGTTTCCCAAGCTTTTCTTCTCTAGCTTTTTGAGGTTGGAAACATTTTTTCCTTCCTCTCATGAGAAGATCTAGTTAGTGAACCATTTTCTAGGCAGAAAATGGCTCTGCCAGGTCCCTTCTGACAGCATCCAGAGAGCAGAAACTCACAGGCATAGAGCCTTCACACGTAGTGCAAAGAAAATTATCCTCTCTGCCTTGCTCTGTTTTACCACTGTCACCCAGGAGTAACTGCCATCCTGCAACAATAGATGATTTCTCTAGAAAAACTTTCTTTTCATTGGTGCACAAAAAAATCCTGAAGATTATTAAATTAGAAATTGTTTTTAAAAATATTTACCAATTTTTCTCACAAAATACTCTTTAAAAAATTTTTTTTAAGATTTACTATTCACATAAAGCTAACAACAACCTGCAGGTTGAATGGTTCTGATTTTTTTCTACCTTTCTAGAAGCAGGGGGGTTGATTTAATGCCATCTTAATTAGACATCTTTATTTATAGCCTGAACAGAATAAGAAAAGCATTGGCATAATAAAGTGTTCCACACTGTAAGACTTTAGCCTTAATATGCAAAATAGGTTCAAAAAGGTAATACAAACACACTTAAAATTTTTTTCTAACTAACTTGCCTACCTTCATTAATTCCAGTCAGGATAAAAATATCTATCCACACTGAAAATGGGTCAGAGTAAAACCACTTTTTGTTCCTAGATTAAAGGAGCCCTTGAGAAAATTTTGCAGAAAGTTTCCTATTGCAATGACTCTTTACACATTGTTGCACACCTCCTATTCCAAATTGCTTTAATATCTCAATAATATAACATTAATATAATTGAACTATGCTGATGATGCAAATTTCCAGAATCTGTATAACATTGCCTGTCAACATGAAACTGAATAGTATATATGCATATGTGCTGCCTAGAAATTGGCAGTGGGTCATATAATGGAATGTAGAGGCTTGAGCTGATTAGCTTTGAGAAGGGAAAACATTTATCTTGCTTTCCAAATGATAAAATCAGGTGAGCTCCCTACAGAAGGATTGCCTAACACACACATCTATGATATCAGTTTTCCGTTGTTTTTCCATGTGGCATGTAACCCCATGCCCTTCATTAATACAACAGCTATAGTTTATGTATACATATTTTACATACATAATAAATATATGGGGCAGGGAAGTTTGTTTTCTTAAAAGTGTTTCAAATTTAATTGCTTTAAAATTTGACAAGATCAAGCAGGGAAAAAAGACTGTGTTGTGTGTCTGTGTTTTTCTTTTAGTGTATTTGATCACAATC